CCCACCGGCTCCGTAGTTTGCGGCCGGCGGACACCTTACACCGGAGCCCGCAACTTCCCACAAGGTCACCGCTGCCGCCCTCTGCGCTCTGCCGCCCCGAGGCCCGGCCTCGGTGGCCTTGTGGGAAATCCGGGCCTGGGGGTACCATAAAAAGAGCAATGTGTGGCGACAGTCCTAGAAAGCTGTTAGCAGCTCAGAGAATGCCAATGGATGACATCTTCACCTTGGCAAGAAGAAAGAACACTGCTGTAGGCCGAATGCAAAACCTCCAAGTTAAACCAGCCAACAGATGGTGTTCCCAGAACATGAGGTTGGTGGCAATATCAGGATGTGGGGCACCGTGGTGAAATACAGAAACACTGTGCATATAGGCCGCGTTCTCTTTATGTTTCTAGGTGTACTTAAAGGATTGCCAAGGAGACGTCTCCACATAGGTAAGTTATGTTTTATCATTAAGGGTCTCCTATAAGCATTCCCTGTAAGGACATTTTTGCTCTTGATCTAATAGCTCTTAGGTCCTTCTACAGTAGAAGATGGTTCAGTCCATTAGCATGAAACATAGTGACGTCTTCTAGAGAAGAATCCAACACCATCATAACACTTTCTTTATTATCCAATTTGCATGTCAGCATTTTAGAATTCACTAAAGCAGATCCGGGCACTTCTTTTTTACAGGTCAGTTTCAGGCTTGTTTACTGTAATTCAATAACGAGATACCTATCATCAGTTTGAAATGCGCATTTTGCCTGCATTGCATTATGTTGACAGCTCATTCAAAATGAACTGTGCTGCCTCAGACCGGACCCAAAATGCATCCTAATGTATCCCTATGCTATTTCTGGCCTCTGTTCACACCAGCGCAGTCTGTTCTAGACAAGGCCAGAAAAATACTGCTTGTCTTATTTTGTCTGGTCTGGAATGCATAGAAACACATTAAAAACACATCAAAAATGCATACAAACACACCTGTAAGACCATTTTAAGCTGAAAAAAACCCAACAACTCACAAACACGGCAAAATCATGGTAAAACACGGAAAAACGCAATGCAATGCGTTCCAGATATGGTCCATATCTGGTCTGAAAAATTATGTGAACCTGCCTTTAAACTAACACATGCCAACGTGCAACACCACATACACCATCATTGCCCTTAAAGGAACCCTCTACAGGGAGGAATACAAATACTGCCACTGCTGAGATTCTTATGACAATTCTAGTTGCCTGTTTGTGATTCTCAATCCATTTTTCAGTCACTTATTAGGAACAGTAACTCAGAAAGTATCGAAGCCGCATACGCATAACAGCCAGCATTTTCAAGGAAGCCTATTTATTTTCTCAATGTAGATTTTCTTTGATATTTTCAAGTACACTCAAATAGATTCAATTAGTCAATAAGCCATTAAGCAGACCTCCTAACTACCCATCTCTTTAGAAGGTCACAACAACAGCATTTGTTTCTTCCTTAAAGTACGCCTTTGCTTTGTTCCTGGTCATCAACTTCATGTTTTAGAATTTCCAGCCTCAGCTGAGAGTACATGATGTCTACTGTGCGCAACATACATAGCCAGTTCAAAGCAAACCTTTGTCCGTGTAGGTACAGGTTGATGGTGGACACGGTGTTAATGTGAATGTAAAGTTTGCTCTGACTTGAGGTGGATAACTACCCCAGCTAAACAGGTCATATTCAAGATGGCAGCCCTCCCGCAGCAGTATCAGGACTTTGGATGACTACACAGAAT